TCGAACTCATTTGTATATTTAATTATCAGTCGTTGTCTTGTATAATATTCTAGTTTACATCATGTACAACATGAAATATTTTATATTCAGTTTGTATCAAGCATATGTTTTGTCTATTATGTTATTAATAAATAAAATATGAAAAGAAAAATAGTCAATTTATTTTAAAAAACTTCAATGTTTAAGTCACCTAGAAATCATTTCTTCTAAAAGATAAATGAATACTTTCAGTACAAGAACTTTTTTAATATAACTAATGGTGCTGATTCACAGAAGGAACTAAACATTTTTGAGATACGCATCGAAAAAGAACGCTGTAAGTCTTTGTAAGGTTACAAATTTAACCTATAAAACTGAGTGCTACTTTACTGTGTGCAGTTACAGGTAATTATCAATTTATCGACGAAAAAAAAATATACTTTTTGCAGATCATTCTTAATCAAAGACGTTTTTATGCTATAGTTCTGTCGCAAAAAAATACTTCAGAAGAAAGAAATTCTAAGTAAATTATATTATAACTTTCAGAAGCTCTCATGAGCTCGTATATTATTCCTTCAAAATTGATAAGGTGAAATCTTAATTATGATATAACACACAATACACAGAATAACATCAAAATGACTTGCTTAATAAAGTCAAAACTATGTAGTATATTGATAAGTATATTGTATTAGGTATCGAATGGGATGAGAGTAATTGTTAAGATTGTAAACAGAACTGATGTAAGTACCACAAAGGCATTGAAAACGATGAAAAAAAAACATTTAAATCTTTTTGCAAATCTAAACACTTTTCATATTTTTATCTAAATGCTAAGGTATGTTTTCAAAGGTAAACTAAAATCAACCTAATCGAGTTTTCCTATTTAAACCTAAAATAGAAAACTTTCAACATTATTATATCACATTGTTTAATTTACCATATTAAATGATGAAAAAAGAAAAATATTTTTTTATACTCTCGCATTTGCTTTTACAAGTAAAGTGTATTAAAACATCATTGGCTTTCATTTTTTACCAACACTTTCTTGTATACATGCTTCACTAAGTAAAGCCCATTTAGAAATTCCTTTAGGAAAAATAAAAAGAAGAATAATAACATCAACAATCTAATCAACAGTATGTATCTAATATTTTAATGTTACAGTGTTGGAAAAAAAACACGATAGCAGTCAAAGTAATCGACGTACTATATTCTCGTACAACTAAATAATTTGCATCCATGTTTTCTAAAACGATGATAGGTGGTATGTCGATCAACATATTGAATACAATAAGCAAAAAAAAAACATGCATACGCTGATAATCATCAAAATCTAGATCATGTTAATTGTCATATGATCGTTTTGGTTATCGGATACATTTATCAAGGTTTATCGTTAAAATTCATTCGATGTTTCAATAATATGAGAAAGTAAATTACTTGAAGTGAAAAAAATCGGCTATCGAGATTGAATTTAAAAAAAATCGATAATCAATAGAAATAAGAATGTGAACACTCTCACATCAAGATGATAAGAAAAGAAAAACAATAAATAAATATAACTAAAAATAATAACCACAATAGTCAAGTTAATCCCTAGAGAAATCATACGATGAATTTTCTATTTTGGCAACTTCAACATTCATCTAGTCAATACGACTGCACTGAAGCATCTATAAATCTTGTTCGATCTATAGTGCATTTAGATATGTTAAGAAGAAACCATCGTCAATAATTGTTCCTGGCATATAAATAATTAACATTGTTGTATTGCAAAAAAAAAAATAAACAGAACATAAATAAGTTCTTGCAAATGCGATTAAACTCAACGGTTATTCGCTCTTTTGTGTTCGTCATACTAGACAATTTCATTCATACAAGTTAATGATAGAATTGTTTCTTTCTTGTATTTGTGTTGAAAGTCTTATTCACTTCTATGTATATCTATAGGTTTTCGGAAGTTACTTATTTTAATATGATTGGATAGAATATTAATGAGTCTATCGAACTCTATAGTTTTTATTTCCATAAATTCTTCACTACTGAGAAAGTTTGATAAATTTTAAAAATTAGCTGAAAATAGATTTCTCTTTGCAACCATTCAGGACCAATTTTTCTTTGATTTTTGCACCAATTATTAATTATATGAATATTGATATATTGATTTGCAACATTTAACCTTCTGATATTAATGATCCTAAAGGGTCATTACATGAATATTGATACTTGTTAATTTAGCATTAACAAACAGAACATCTGTTATCTTATCAAATCATATATATTTTCTATTTATATTAATGTCTTAACGTTAATGGAAGTTAAATGATTTTCTAAGAATTTTTTTTAAAGAATATTTTCATTTTTTGCTGAAGAAAAGTTTTGTCTAAGTATCGAATTTTTTTCTTTAGTATATGCTTGGATAGAGTATCAATTTCTTTATTCATTCATATAATTTTTTATTCAACTTAAATCAAATTTCACAAGAAACCCTATAAAATTGTTTATTTTTTTTTCTCAAGTACTAGACAAAGTAAATTCTAATAATAAAATTCAATTCGTTTCTTATACTTGAATCAATTTTATTATACATATTTTAATGAGATCGATGATTTTCATCCAAGACAACCTTCAAGACTAAAGAATTTCATGATAGTGAAATCAAACTGCGCAAAAAATCGACTTGGATTATGATGAAAAATAAATCAATGATTCAATAGAATGATCAGTGATCTATCATGCTATATCAATATATTTAGCTTGTAAATTCGCTGGAATAATCGACAAATTTTATATAAAAAAAAAACCTACCGAAATAATATAATTATTATGATATTTCTTTTTGTTTGACTGTATCGAAATACAGACAATTCGAGAAGAATAGACACTTTAAAAGCTAAAACTCAATTTTGAAAACCTAAAGTTCATTCTCTAGATCTCATTTCATTTTTATAGTTTATTGCAAATGAACAGATTTAATTAAGTTTATTGTTGAAATGAAAATTCTGAGTAATATATGACATGCACTTAATAATCAATGGAAAATATAGACTTACGATAAGGTTTAATAACATGATTGAATTCGTTTATTGTTGAATATAATAGAATGTTTTGACTCATATTTTATTCATTTATTTTTAATTATTATTCTCTTAACAAAAAAAAAACCAAATTATCAGAAAAGAAGTATTGATTTCAATGGAACAATCATTTGTTCTAATGATAATCATAACGTCATTGATAATAAGAAATAATAACTCATGTTTCTATAAAATTTGTTCTTTTCTTTCTATTTCGTTTAAATATACTGATATAAATCTAGAACAAAACAGGTTGAACAAGTTTGCTTTTTTTGCACTTGAATACCTATTAAGGTTTTCGTAGTATTATGTCCTTGTTACTCGTAGGCGTTTGTATTATATTTACATGATGAATCAGGATGATTTCCTTGAGTCATTAGATTGATAATAATCGTAGGCAAGATAACATTCGAGAGTAATCATACAAATGAATGTGTACTCATGTGCTCGTAAAATAGAATCAATTAATTTTTAGTCGATAATAGAGTTTTTATTTTGCAAGATTCGAGAAGCTACTTTAAAATGATATGATATATATACAAAAAAAAAGGGCCTCGTTTGTTATTTATATGGAATACTTATCATTCTTCTGACATCATCGTGAAACAACAAAATAAGCCATTTGCTTAATTCATCATCACAATATTGTTATTTCAACTCCAATACATTTACTATTGATACATAAGACAAGTGCGACATCTTATTGAATAATATTCTTTCGTCTAACGTGTTACGATGGATTAGACGTTAATCTGTATCCTATTTTTTAAATCTTTCAACTGTTTGAACAGAAGAAAAGTGAACTGAGTGCAATCAAAAGGTTTCTATCAACAAAGAATGGTTGCGTCAAATCCAATGATCAATAGCCATGAACTTTTATGTTTATTATATATATATATTTATTTATATATTTGCGTATTTGTGATTGATTCCATTCCTATCAATATAAATCAGTAGATTCGAAGTGATCTTTGATTTCTATAATTGATCGTATAGACGACTATAATCAGATCATTTGAAATTAAAGAAAGAATAATTAAGATAAATTATTAAAACTAGCTTTTATAGCATCAATGCGGAATGAACATTGACCCGGATTAATCGGAGGAAGAACAGAAGTATTCTTATGTTTTTGGTTAGTATATTTTGCAGCAGTTTTTTTTCTTTCTGTTGCATCGTATACATTAACAAGGTAGAGCCGATGGTTGACTCATTCATTTTCCCATTCGGGACTATATTTTTTTTCCTCTCTGTTTTGCATTTTTCTCCGTTAGAACGTCGATTCTCTCACCAACACTATCAAAGCGACTTTTCATCATTATCGTTTTTCTTCTTTTTTTCTTTCGTTCTGTCCTGTTCTATCTTTGTTGCAATTTTTTTCTATTGAGCGTCTATCCGCCGAATAGCAAATATATATATATATATATATATGTAAGACATCATAAGAATATTCGAAATGATGTTTTTTTTTGCAAACATCTGAGAAGAATCAATCGATATGATTCTTGACATCTTTGTTTTTTTCACTTCTTTTCTGTCATTATTTTTTTATCTATCTATACCATCAACAAGTACATGCACATGCAGAGACGTTAATGACTGCTTTTCTGAGATTGGCAGTTTTTTTTTCTAATTCTTTATCGTACATGCTAGCGGCCATTATTATAATTACCGTTATTTGAAAAAAATTTAATATAATACCATTATAATCCTTTTTGCATCTATAATTGTTTATATTAAAATCCTGTTGATGAATTAAATCAGAATTTTACTCACTCACCATATTTCATTGTTTGGCGCCTTTTTTTCATTTATTTTAGATCTGCTTTTACTGCTTTCGAAATTTGCTCTTCATTTTTTTTTCTCTTGTATTCTTTTGCTATTCGTGGTGTCTTTCCGTTAAATCTAATTATGGCTTCATCTTGAACAACAAGTCCCAATATGCATGAAGCGGAAACATATTTGAATAGAAAGTAAGAAAATTAAATGTTTGTATCCTCGAATATATAGTAAATTATTTATTGTAAAAGGATCCTTTTAATTAAAAGAAAGAACAAAAAGCTTCACGTCGTGATCGATAGCCTTTTTAAATATTCGATGAAAAATTTAACAAGTCGCACATTTTTTCAATGAAAAAATGCAAAGTAAATGGTACTTACAATGAAGCAAAAGAAAGATTGTATCGAAATGTACTTTGTTGTGAAAAAAAAAACCTTTTGAGTGTCCAATATATAAGAAAAAAGTATTCGTACAATATTCTCAATCGAATATTGTATGTTACATCATACATTCACATCATATGTCTGTAACTTATTTGTTCTGTTCTCTAAATCTTTTCGTCAAATATATAGACCTGAAGCAATTCGGTGATCAATGTTTGTTTTTACTATTTGAGAGATTGTTATACATACTTTGAGTACACCTCGTTTCTCAAGGTATTTATAATAGTGAAAAAAAAAATATTCAAATCAAATCAGAAGTATGACATATACTGATTGTGAGCATGCTATCAGCGTCCGAGTAGAATTTCATAGTGAAAAATGGATTCGAATGTAAGAAATAAATGATTATTATCAGTAATTGATGTTTTTTTAAATAGATATTCAACATTTGTTGTTAAATATTCATGGTGTTTTTTATTACTTGGATTGATTATTTGTTTTGCACTTGGCTTATCAGCGGTTCTTTTACGTGATTTACCTGATTTTAATGATCCAACGAAAGTAACATATTTCATTTAGAAAAATGAATAATAAACAAATTATTTTTATTTTTATTTCAAAGGGTTTTGTTCCACGAGGTAAAAACACATTAACATCTAAATTATTCGTTTTGGAACGAGTGAAAAATGAACTTGATAAACAAATGTTAGCTGCAAAAGTGGTTGATAATAAGAAAGTGTCATCATCATTGAATATCAATAAAGAAGAAGAAGAAGATGAAGATGCCGATTATGATGATAACTTAAATGAATCATATCTTCTAGAAGATCTTAGAAATAGTTTGGATTCTTGTGCCTTTTTATCGAGCGATCAAAATAAATGTTTAACCAATAAACAAGTATATGAATTATTACATAACCAAAGCGATTTAATTAGATTTTCTAAAACAATCGAACAACAAATGAATAAGCCACATGAACAAATATGTACATCAATTGATTTAAGTTCGTTTTATTTTTCAATTTTTCAAAATTGTAATTATTCAAAACCCTTTTTGTAATCTGTTTCTTGTTTTTTTAGATCGTCATTATGAAGTTTATTTCGAATCAAGTAATAAGTCTATACCAAATTTATTAACAATCAACAATCTTTTATCACTGTGTAAAAAACAAAATAATCTTCTTAAATTATTTCAATTAGATTCAACATGCCATTATACATTACCACAAATGATTTCTTATTTTTCAAATAAATCAAATTGTTCTGAACTAAATGAAAATGATATAACATATTTTATATATCGTATGCAACGTTGTCATCAATTATATAATACTGGTCTGATACGTTTAGCTGGTTTAAAACGTTATCGTTTTAAACCAATTGAATTATTTGAATATGATTCTTGTTTTCGATATAATTTTACATTTTTAACATTAGAATATTTATTAGATAAAACATTTTTAACAACGAATGAAACACGTTATACAGCTATGTGGTTTTTAAAACCTAAAAAACCTAAAAAATCCTTAAATGGTAGTGAAATTCATACAGCTAATTCTGCATATGATCTTTTTATTAAACATTTTTATCGTAATCCAAAATTTGATGATGGTTGGACAAGAATATCGGCATTAAATTTGTTAGATATAAGAATTTCAACAGCAATGAAACAAATTCGTGCTGATATGTTTTTTGTTATTTTAGCAATATCATTAATTGTTGGTGTAAGTTTCTTTTATCATGAAAAACAAACAAACAAACAATATTCTTTTTTCTTTTCTTTTTTTTTTTTTAAGGTAACAATTATTTATCTTCGTTCAATAACTGTTGCGTTAATGACCAATGTTTGCGTTGTTTTTTCATTTGCTTGTGCTTATTTTTCATATAAAATAGCATTAGGTATTGATTTATTTCCATATATTAATTTAATGGCAACATTTATATTAATTGGTATATCATGTGATAATGTATTTGTTATATTTGATGCATGGTATTCAGAAAAATTAGATATTTATAATCAAGCACGTTTACAAAATCGTTCTATTGAATTTTATGGTAAATTAACTAAACAACAAGAACAACAATATCATCGTGATCGTGATAATACATCAAATGGTATTAGAAAAAAATTAACAAATAAAAATAATCATGAACAAGATGGTAATCAATTAGAAGACAATGAAAATAATGAACAAGAAGAAGACGAAGAATATTTTGATCGTATTAAAAATCCTGATTTAATAAGAATGATGAAAGTTAATGATGAACAAATGATACAAATGATGGGTGGACTTTTAAGACATGCAGCTGCTAGTGTTTTTGTTACAAGTTTTACAACAACAGCTGCATTTTTTACGAATATGATTACACGTATTGCTTATGTACAATTGTTTGGGTTATTTATGGTAAGTTTTAATTGAAAACAAATTCATAATAAAAATATTTTCATTTTCTTTTAAACTATTAATGTACTTTTGAAGATAACATTTCAAAAGTATTTTTAATGATTGATTATCTATTGTTGAATATAGTATATCTGTAGATTAAATGTCTTATGTGAAATGACCTTTAAATTTTGAACTATACTTTGTGTTTTTTTTTGTAAAAGTAATAATTATATTGCGTTCGTTTCTTCTATTGTTGCATTGCGTGACAATATCTTTTATTCTTTTATTCTTTCTTATTAGAAATCAAAGTATCGGAATTCTATTCAATTTATATTGTGAGAAAATCCTGATGTTAGAAGATGACAAAGAATAAATCTACAGTGGTGCAGAAAAGAAAGACATATGAGACGTAAATCACAAAAGGAAGACAAAAAAAAAAGATTTCTTCTTTGAAAAAGAATAGAATAACATCCATAAAGATAACTCAAAAAAGGTGCATCTTTCGAACTTTGAGCAATAATTTATCAATAAAAATAATAAATAAAAAAACAGCTATCTTTATGGCACACTAAAATTGCGCATAGAATTTTTAAATATTCATTAAAAATTTGTGTTAACATAAGAAAAACTTGAATTTCTATCTTTTATTATTTAGGGATTTTGTATATTATTTAATTTTCTAATGAATATAACAATGATTGTATCATTTGTAATTGTTTATGAAAAATTTTGTGAACCATTATCAGCACGTTTGGGTTTATTTAATCATTTTCCATCATTATTTGATAAAGTTTTATCAACATTAACACGTCTTAGTCATGTTATATTTGCTGTGTATATACCACGTTTAATAATAAAACTTCGTTATCTAATGATAATCATATTTTTTATATTTGGTATAATTGGTTTAATCATTGTTTTTTATCATCCAAAATTATCACCACCAAAATCTCGTCGTTATCAATTTTTTCAATTAACACATCCATTTGAACGTTTTGAATATCAAATGCGTGATCAATTTTTATCATATATTAATGAAGATAAAGAAAATGTTACTAATCCATTATTAATATTTATATTTGGTATTGAAGATACTGATTTAATACATCCATTTTATCCTGAAGATGGAAAAATAAATCAAAATAAACAAAATTTAATTTATAATAAAAATATTGATTTTTATGATCCAAATATTTTACGATGGTTTGATATATTTTTAAAAGATCTTAATCGAAGTGATTTATTTATTAATGTTCAACAAACATATTCACAATGGTTAACTATTGGTAAGATGAAAATTTAAAAAAAAAGAATTTGTTTTTTTTTTCTTAGTCTCATTATTATTAATTATTTGTTTGTGTCTAGGTCAATTATTACGTGGATTTGTAACTTCAACTAAAGAAAAATCGTTACCATTAAATGATCAAGAATTTTTTGTTCCATCAACACGTAATCAAACAATTCTTGCAATGGAACGTCTATTTAATTTATTTAAAGGATCAAATAAATTTCAATCAGCAAATGATATGACACGTGGAAATGAAAATTATCGTATTGGATTTTTACCTGATAGTAAAACACAAGAAATACGTGCATTTTTATTTACTGTTAATATGAATGTTACATTTAATTCATATGCTGTGCAAGATGTTTATTATAATAAATTACAGACTTATTTTCAAAAACGTTTAGAACAATTAAGATTATCGGAAGGTCCTAATGGGCATGTTTATAAACAAGTTAAACACGGGTAAAAGAAAATTGAAAAATTTTTTCTTCAATGAATTTTATATTTATGATTATACTTAATTGAATCGAAAAATTTAAGGACAATCTTCGTACAGATTAAATTGTATTTTCTTTATAAGAATTTTTGGTTGAACTATTCAAGCTTTCCCTATAACTATAATAAATAAAACCAATCGATTAGATCAGAGCAAATATTCTAAATTTAATGAAATTGATTCAGAAGTGTGAGATTTCTCACTGAATATTTTCAAACATTCTTTTTTATTAGATTAGCTGTAGGGTAGAGTTCATCAAGTCCTATCGAACCCAGTTGAGTTCTGGTCTGAAAACTTTATCGGCTACGCCCACAAAATCTTTGATCCGATGGTCTCTCTACTGTAGATTCAAGTAAAATTTTACTTTATCGACTGAAAATATTAAATCTATTTTTGTGAATTCACAGATTCGATCGGCATATTTTCAAGAACTATGCAAATGAAGAAAGTTATCATCAACAAAAAAAAAATAAGATGAAAATTAGTTTTCATCTTATTCTTTTTTTTTTTATATCTAGAAATCTGAAACATAAATGTCTGAATCAAATATTCAAAATATAGAAATATTACTATTGATATAAAAAATTGAAAACTTTGGAATCGATATCGATAATTGCGAGTCTACTATTCTTAAATTTTTTCAACATTCAGATAACAACAAAAAAAATATGTTCATCTGTTTTTACTAAACATTTCATGTTTGTTTTTTTCTTTTTATTCATTTAGTTGGTTTGTTTCTCCTCAATTTTTATTCTATGACTTAATGCGTGAAGTTATACGTGGTACATATACATCATTAATTTTTTCAATGCTATTTGCATTTGTTGTTCTCTTGTTAACATCTGGAAATGTTATAATAACAATTTATGCTATGTTGACTATAGTATTTATTATAGCTGATACAGTGGCTATATTTGTTTTATGTGGTTGGGAATTAAATATACTTGAAACAATTATTATTATTATGAGTGTTGGTTTAAGTGTGGATTTTAGTAAGATAATTTTTTCTTTTTAACCTTTTCTTTTTCTAACTAATTTTTTAATATTAATTTAGCTGTACACTATGGTGTTGCTTATATTAAAGCAGATTGGAAAAAAAATGAAACTTATATTAAACGATCATCAAAATCATTACATTTACTTAATAATAATCATAAAGAAAAGTTTGAAATAGACAAAACTATTATAGACAATGAACATTCAAATAAAAAAGAAACATTATTTCAACGTATTAAAAAACAACATCAATATGGAAATATACAACGTTTTCGTCGAATTAAAAATAGTCTTATTCGTGTTGGTTCAGCTGTATTTATAGCTGGTTTTACATCATTTCTTGCTGGTTTATCAATGGCACCAAGTAAATTAACATCATTTTCACAAATGGGATTTTTTCTTATGTTAATTATGTTTATAAGTTGGTTATTTGCAACATGGTTTTTCTTACCATTACTTTCATTTATTGGACCTATTGATAAATTTGGTGATATACCGTAAGAAATCAAAATAAATCTTTTCTAACGAGCATATAGACATGACATATTTTCTGCCAAAAACGATTTTTTTTCCTAGAAATATTAGCTTTTTTGTACTCAAAAATAAGATCGATAAAAGAAAAGAAGACCATTCATGATAGATGATCCCTTTGAAAAAGCTTGTTCTATTAAAAAGATGCAATTTTACACATTGGTTCTAAATATGTATTAAGTTTTCTTTCAAAATGCCTCTGTGGAAAATAAATCGTAAAGAAATTTTAGCAGCTAAGACTTTTAGTAAAACTTTTACCTCAATCCAAAAGCATTTGTTCTAACTGGGTGTACATCTCAGATATAGAAGAATATTTTCTCAAAGTTTCGTCGATATTAGATTAGTTTGAAAAACTGACGGTCAAGATTTCTCAAGACATCTTTTCGGAAAACGCTTAGCGTAATAAGAATAATTGCATTTTTTAGAACAAAAAATTTTCTTGTAAATCGATTGTTTCACACTAAGTATGATTTATTATCCAACTCTTTTTAAAAAATGATATTTCTGTCTAGATTTACTGAAATGAGACTTATTTTTGCGAATAAGTTTCTCCAATGAATTTACCAGTTGGGGCAAACTTTTTTTTTTCACCAGAAAACTGATCGTTAATGAAAGTTTATAAATTATTAATCGAATATCGAAAAGGTCACTTTGATTTTTTTTTTTCATCTAATATTCACTTCTGTGTTGCGAACTAAGAAATCTCTTTTCAATGTTTTGTTTTTATTTGATTTATTAGACTTGGTAAATTATGTCGATGTAGTAAATTATCATCATCAACTGTAATACAATCAGTTTCAATAAATGATAATGAAGAAAATATACATGAAGAACAAAGTTTAAAAAATGAAATCAATTGATACAGAATTTATTAAATTTATATATATATATATATTTATTTATTTACTTAAGATACCATTTGTCTTTCGTTAATCTCGAATTAAAAGAAACAAAATAAAACGGAAATATTTGCATCTGAAGATATATATTTATTTTACAAAAAAAAATTTCGGGTGCTCATTGTTTTTTCATTTGTAATGAGATCAGATATTCATATATTTCCTTTGATGTTTTTTTTTTCTTTTCTGCATTTTTTTGCGTTTATTTGACATTCATTAAATATATGTTTTTGTTTATTGAGGATGTTTTTATATCTACATATAGATATCGTCATATAGAAATTTTTTGTTTTTTGTTCTCGTTTAATTAAATCAATGTCGTGTATTCAAAATGAATAGTTTCATTTTATCATATCTAGATATTTTGTTGTCAACAGTTGTTCTTCTAGTTTTTTTTTTTCAAAAAATAAATAAATAAATATTTTATCATTATTGTAACAGTACTATGAACATTTTTGAAAATTTTTTTACTATTAGACATAAATGATTTGATACAGTTTCTTTTGATTTATTAATAATAGACATTAGTAGAATAGTTATATTCTTAAAGGATTGCAATCGTGCATGTATATTGCATAATTAATGTAAGTGATAATTTTTTTTTTTTTGCTATTCATATTTATGTGATAGATGTTATATTTATTTGATTTTGAACAGATATTTGACATTGAATGAGAATATAATGTTAGTTTTATGCTAATTGTATTATGTGTTTACAAAAATGTTTTATTAGATGATTGGTATTGCTACATATAATTACTAATGATTCATTCGAAATAATGGTAATGTGCAAGATATTGAATCAATTTATTGGTTTTCTTTTTATTTCACTAATATGTATTGGAAAGGTCACGATGTACTTCTGTTTAAACTGATAGATGAGTAAATAGTCTAAGAGACCTAATCGTATTAACCTGTTTATATTATATCTATCAGTGTCACCATGGTATACTTATACAGATTATTGACCTTTCCTCTTTTGTCAGTAGGTACGAATATTCTTTCAACGTCAATTATTTATCAAGTGATGATATAACGATAGTGACGCATGCGTCATACAAACAAACAACAATAAATTAAGAATGAGATAAACATGCATGAAATGTTCGTAGCATTAAAAAAATACTTTGTATAAAATGTCATCACGCCTACTTGTATAAATATTCACATAATAGTGATCATGTATCTTACATAGATTAATATTTCTTTTTATTTTAATTCAAAAAGATTTCTATTATTGATGTACTTTAATAAATGATGAAATAGAAAAATTAAAGCAAAAAAAGAAACAAATAGAACAAATCATGCTTGTTTATTCTTGTATATATATCGATTATTAATGTCATTCTATTTATGCATGTGTCAATATCATACTTTCATTTATTGTTATGCAAGTTATGAAAGTGCAAACGTATCGAATGTACTAGTGTGCTTCAAAGATAACAGCACTTAAAGAATCGGACAAAGTATACAATGATCCTACTAGTTGCGAATGCTCAGTGTAAAAGAATAAAAATAGCTTGATGCAATATAGAATTTAAAAAAATCAATGAACACTATGGAATAGAAATAAAATAAAAGTGAAATATTTTTCATATAAAAATGAAACAATTGAAAGAATAAGTCAGTTAATCATTAAATACTAATATCAGCAGTTATATTTACCTCTGTTTATGTTTTATCTATCCTTATAGTGAATTTGAATATGAAACGACAATTCCATTTCTTGCTCGTACAGTAATTTGATACTTAATTTGTCTTCGAAAATAAATCAATGTTGAAAATCCAAAGAATTTTACTATAAAATTTTACGAAAGAATTCATGTGTCAAAGTTTTTCATCATTTCAATCTACATATTTGTGATATACTGTTCTGTATAAACAGAAGTGTTCCCAATGTTACCAAAGTTAGAGACAGAGAGTCGAGAATCAAGGGAGCTGATTCAAAAATATTTTGATAAAGATGATTGAATCTTGCGGCCTAGTCTAAAAGCTTTTTTTTGAAATCGATTAGCGAAAAAACAATGGAGCTCTACTGGAGAAAAACAAACATTTTTCAAGATTGAAAAAAAGTAATTTCTCGACTCCCAGCTGGAGACATCCATCCTGTATATACAGTAATGATTTGAAGTACATTCATTTATATCAATACAATTTATTTTTGGTTCTCTGTTCTCAGCAAAACAAACTGTTGAGATCCATAGTATAAAACTTGAAAAATAAATTCATTTATTGAACAGCAATTTAAATATTTGACTACAATATTACAGTAAATATGCTAAGTTTGAGGCAAACGCATGTCTGAATTTTATATTATGGCGAATGTCACAACTCGACACTCTTTGGAGAATTAATCAATCAAACAACACAAAGGTCTGAACGCTGATTGCATATTTATTTTATACATAAAACAAGAATAAAATTTGTTTGAACGTTCTATTTGAAAGCTCTTTAATGGCCTACATTTTTTAAAAGCTGTTTTATTCTTAATTCTTTTTGAAAACTATATGAAATCCTTTATGTTGTAATTATAAAATGTTGAATTGATAGAAATTTCTTTTTACCAATTTCATTGTACTCCATCGTGTGATGATTGTTGTTATATTTATATAGTGATGTACTTCTTGACGCTCTCATCTAGGTCTTATTTCTAGCCGTTATAAATCTTGTGTCACAATATAATTAGTTTTCTGTCAAAGTGTTTTTTTAACAAGTGGAATAAATTTACGATAAAATTGTTTTTATGACTTATGTTTAAATGAGTTATAGGTTATTGAGTTCAATCGACAATTTGATTCTCATAGTTGATGAAATAATGTTACTAGAATTTCGGTTATTAGAATTATTTTAAAATTCTAACAATCCGTTCATTTTTGATTTGCAATATTTCATAGAAGTCTTAACTACGAAAATATTCAAAGGTAAGACGAATATCGAGAAACATTACATTAAAATTAATTATTCATTATTTTTATAATGCATATATGAAGGAAGACAGACAAATAGACATTATTTCATAATCTGTGCCAGTAAAATTTTGTCTTTTTTTCCTGTAATATCTAGCGTCATCTACTTGGAAATAATCAATGCGTAAAAAAAAAAAGAATATATCCCTGATTGGTATAAAAATTCTCAAGAATCTATTGGTACGCACATGATTTTAACAGGTAATTGGTATTATATAACATATGGATTGTAGCGCTATAAATTCAAAGTTTAAATTATACGAATCTCGAAGGTTATTTCGAATTGTTGAATTTTTAATTGGTCAAAATGTTTTTATTCAACCAATAAAATTCATAAAACGGCTAACTATTCATGCTAATTGAATTGTAAGTGTCTGTTGTTTTTTGCTTATGTCTATCTATATGTTTGTTTTCCTCTAATGTCTTGTATCACTTCATTATTTTGTGATTAAATTTTTTGAATAAATATTATTCTCGTAAGTAAAAATAAATTATTATATTTTATCTTTTATGATAAAAAATTCTTATTCATAAAATCTTTTCCATCTAGATTAATACATACATATATATATATATATTTTTTGTTTTGTTTCTGTTATTTCCTCTAATGTCATAAGATTATTTGTTCATATAAAACTTTTTGTATGTCGTCTTCAACAAATTCTCATCATTATACACATAATAATCATCATCGAACAAGTTCACGTGACACATCTTATTCTCATCATCATCAATCACTTCTTGAATCTGTATCATCAGAATCGTCGTCACCTGAGAGTAATACATTAAATTCAGAAAAATATCATCATTCATCAACAACAAAAAAAAAACATAAACATCATCGACGAAAGTCATCTGAACGTAAAACAAGAACACGTCGTTCATCATCTAGTGATAATAATGAATCTAATCAACATAGGTACAAAGGAAAAAAAGAAATTGTTTTTTTTATAATAATAGTTTTTTTTTTTTTTTTGTTTTTCATTTAGTCGAACTTCTCAGCGTTCACGACATGATAATACAACAAATCGAACGTCTCGTAATTCACAACAAACTTATCATACACATTCACGTGATACAACAAATGAAACATCAACAAATGACATTAATTTTGATGTAAAAACTAAAAAACGTTCACATCATCATACAGATAATAGTAATTATTCACCGAAAAGACATCGTCGAACAAGTCCATTATCATCATATCCAATGTCAATTTATTCTTCACATCCTTATCATCATCGTCATTATAGAAGATCAAAATATCATCGAAAATCTTCATCATCATCAACACATTCAAGTGAACATTCATCATCAAATGAAAATGATAATAATAATCAATATCAACGGTCAACAAAAGGAACACTTGCATCTGAACTTGATAAAATAAGACCAAAAGTTAACAAAAATAAAACATTAACAACTAATATTCAAACACAAAGTGAACAACAATCAAAACCTGATAATGATGTAAGGATAAGGAAAAAGAACAAAAAACTTTGAACTTGTAAATATATCTCTTAGAATTATCTAAAATAGAAACTATTCATAAAAATGTATCGATGGAAAACAATAAAGTGGTGATCTTTTTTTGAAAAGATTTAAATAGTGAAAAACTCATAGAAAATAATTTCTAGAAATATATATGAACGTGCAATTGCAAGCTGACTGTTATATGAGATATAATCTTTTCTTTCATTCTCTATTTTCTTAATTCAAATCATTTTTATTCTTCTGTTATATAGACAAATGCAAAATCAGCTGATACAACTTCAAATACAAACCGTTCTGAGTAAGTTTTAATGGAATAAAACATATTGAAATCAAAATATAAAGTTTAGTTTAACTTCTCGTCGTCGTTCAATAAATGTTCCTCCATCTACTGGACAAACACATTTAACACGATCATTACCAATGCCACCAGATTATAAACCAGATTCTTTTTCACCATCAACTCCAATAAATACTTCTCCCAATCCACCTGATAAACCAATGAAACGACCATTGTAAACATTTAAAAAAAAAACGAACAATAAAAAAATACATTGAATGATTTTTTTCTATCATTGAAGAATTCTTCAACGTCGTGATGAAATGATGAAAAATCAATGGGGTGAAAGAACTGTTGAAGTATATGAAATTTTAGCAAAAATTGGTGAAGGTACTTATGGTGAAGTTTTTAAAGCACGCGATAAAACAACCGGTTTGTTTACTAATAATATTTATTTTTGTAAACATTTGTTTTTTTAGGTGAATTATGTGCATTAAAAAAAGTTCGATTAGAAAATGAAAAAGAAGGTTTTCCAATAACAGCTATACGTGAAATACAAATTCTTCGTCAATTAACACATCCACATATTGTAAATTTAAAAGAAATTATAATGGATGCACGTGCTATAGTTGATATTAAAAATGATACATCATTTTATTTAGTTTTTGAATATTGTGATCATGATTTATTTGGTTTACTTGATTCAGGTTTAATTGAACTTGATATGGAACATATTCGAGCATTTATTTATCAACTTATGTCTGGCTTAGCTTATTGTCATCAAAAAAAATTTTTACATCGTGATATTAAATGTTCAAATATTCTATTAAATAATAATGGAAAAATAAAATTAGCTGATTTTGGTCTTGCACGTTTCTATAATGCTGATGATAAAGATCGACCATATACAAATAAAGTTATTACATTATGGTATAGACCACCAGAATTATTACTTGGTGAAGAAAGATATGGACCAGCTATTGATATTTGGAGTTGTGGGTACGTTTTCAATGTTTTTTTCTATTATGTTTGATTTATAAAAATGAATATTATTTTTTTTTAATAGATGTATCTTTGGAGAATTATTTACTCGACGACCTTTATTTCAAGCACAACGTGAAGATGAACAATTAGAAATGATTTCACGTTTATGTGGTTCACCGACGCCAGCTGTTTGGCCAGATGTTATTCATTTACCACTTTTTGCAACACTTAAACAACGAAAAACTTATCGACGAAGATTACGAGACGAATATCAAAAGTAAGAAGTTTTTTTTTTTCATAGAATTTTTTTAAGTTAGATGATATATAATTTTTTTTAGTCTTCCTGAACCTGCATTAGATTTATTTGATCGTATGCTTGAATTAGATCCATCAAAAAGAATAAGTGCAAGTGATGCTCTACTATCCAATTGGCTTAAAGATATAAATGATGATACAATACGACCATTACTGTAATTAATAATTTTCTTTTTTATTAATTTAAATTTGCATATATTCTATATACATAATAAAAAATAATACTAACAAACTTTAGATTACCAATCGCACAAGATTGTCATGAAATGTGGAGTAAGGAACATAAACGATTAACACGTCGTGGTTGGAGTGAAAATGAAATTCAAGCACATTTTAAAGAACGTGAAATAATCGAATATCAACGATATAATCAAGTTACTGGTAAGATTAAAAAAAAAGTATTTTTTGCATTTTTTTTCCTTTTCGACTTGATATAAATTGAACATGTTCAAAAGGATAGAATTGTACAGATAAACGTTTTTTTTAATGGTATTCTTATTGAAATCGACTTTTTACTCAATGATTTTCTGTTTATGAATATTATCAAATAGAATTTTTTTATCTTTATTTTTCGTAACGATATATGTCATAAAACTATCTTTTATTTATTGACTCATCATCATCATCGCCATTTTCAATAAAACTTTTACTTTTATTTTGTTTTTGCTTGATAGATTTTCTATAATAACTTCGATTAGATAAAGATTTAATTCGTTGTTTCTTTTTCATCATATTTCTTAAAAGAGAACAAATAGATATATAATTATGAAAGTTGTACTAAGAAAATTTTTTTCATTGTCTAGACATGCAAATGGATAGTCCTGATCCAACAAATATTAATATTGAAAGGTACGTTATTTAAATTTATTAAAAAAATAAATCAAATATATCTGTTTGATCATTATTATTATATCAATGTTTTCTAGTGTGTTTTTTTCCAATGAAATAAATTTAATATAGAAAAATATTCATTATGCATTTTTTTTTGTTGTTTTAAATAAATATGAATGCGCGAATAGTTTGGTTGATTTAATTTAATTTAATTTTAGTTCAAAACAAGATAATGTTGTTTCTTATTCACAATCAATTGAAATATTAAATTCAACAACATTATCAATAAAAAATGGAAGTAATATTGATAATAATAATAAATCAAAATAAAATTCAAACATTATTTATTTCAAACTTCGATTATCTATTTATATTAATTACCATTCGTATTTTTCTTTTGTCAACAATTATATACCATATATTTGTTTTTCACAAATCACAAAAAGAAAAGGAAAGGAAAATCAACAAAATATTTGATTTAATATCGACGATGTCCATATGCTATTCACATTTGTCAAGTTGAATAAAAAAAAAAAAAAAAGAAAGAAAAATATTGTGTATGTGCAAGTGTGTTTATTATTTAGGCGTTGAATGTCTTTGTCTATCTTCCTTTTTTTTTGTTTTTTTTGTCTCTTCTTCTTTTTCTTTCTCTCTCTTTTTTTTTCTGTGCTTCTTTTGTCTTTTCAAATAGCTTTCAACATTGAATGAATCAGATCATCACACAAATACGACTGGATTAAAAATATGTAACAAGCAATTTTCATCTAGGACAGATGTTTTGTACAATAGAAGAGAAAAATAAGAACAAAAATGGATTAGTGAAGAAGATAATGGGTAATGAAGAAGTTTTGTACATGAAATAATTCTCGGTATTTTGTTTGAGAAATTTTCAAATGAAAATTTTATTGATTAAACAATATGTTGTTTCATAGTTAAAAAAAATGACTTAAATTTCAATCTACAATTTCTCTTTCAACGTCTGTACTAAATTAAACTACATCCAATAGTTGAACGTCATATGTGTGATGATCTGTTTCTGTCATGTTGATTCGCTATTTTTTCGATTTTCAGATTTGAATTCATGATGATAATCTGCGTATAATATACGCCATCAAATTAGACAAGAAAAATTTCAACTATATTTTACTACAAACTTCAATTTAATTTTTCTTCTATAAAAACAAAAATATTTTTTCTATTTCATATCTAAAATTTCCTAAGTTCTTTTCCTCAGAAACTCATCTTTCTTTCATTTACTTCTAGTGACATCTATCGATAAATATTTCACGTACAAAATCTAACTAATGTTCTTTTTTTTTTTCTTTCTTTTAGGCTGTTCATCAACAGACTCGATCATCTATCATTCATGGCATGGGAATCGTAAATCGCTCAAAAACATAACTTTTTTTTTTTCTTTTTTTTACTATCTCATAAAAAAATGTTCAGATATTTAATTCTGTATATCCGACTAATTTTTTGTTTGTTTTCTATATTCTTCAATGAATGAATGAATGAATGTATTTTGCGAAATTATCGCAAACAGAACAAAAAAAAAAAAAAGTACACACATATATGACCAAGAAACCGGCACACAAAAGAAGAAATATACAACAACATCAAGAAGTAGGAATAATAAGAACAACAACAGCAAAAAAAAAAAAGTATACAGAGTTCTCTAGAATTTTTGTTTTTTAATGTGTGTCTGTTTCGATGAGAAAAAGAAAAAGATTCTGCTGGATTTTTGTTTTTCTAATCGTGCCAAGAAAGAGAAAAAAAAAGAAAAAAGAAATGTAAATAGAATGGATATTTATGTACATCTGAAGATTATTCTTGTTCATCATCATCTTCTTCGTCACCACTTTCATCGGCACCACTATCAGCCGATGCACCAGCTGCTGCTGCTGCTTTTCGAGAATTTGGTTTATCAGCAGATGCTTTTGAATCCCCTAAGAAAAAAAAAAAAATATTTTTCAGTTAAAATTATCTCATTTCTTTTTTTTTTTGTCTATTAATATAATTACCTTCATCATCTTCACCATTTTCTCCATCATCTTCTTCATCATAATCATCATCTGAACCATCTTCGTCATCATAATCACCTCCTTCTCGATCTTCACCAGCTACCTACAAAACCAAAAAAAGAAAAAACTTGTTTTCTTTTTTTGAACAAATTAATTTTTCTTTTTTTTTTAACATACATCATCATCATCATCTTCCTCATCATGATAATCACCATTTTTAAGATTCGATGAATCATCATCAACTACCGTAGGTGCTTCACCATTAGTACCATTTGTTGCTTTTAATGCTTTCAATTTACTTGGACTTACATCATCCAGTTCAGCTTCACGTTTTGTACCTATGAAAAATAAAATTATATTTTGTTTAGGTTTTTTTTTTTTCTTCTTATCTAAGAAAATAAAAATAAAAAATTTATTTTTACCCTTGGTGGCAGTAGCTGTCGGCGAAGACAATGCATCAGTTGAATCGGCCATTGATAAAGTTTAGTTGGTTGATAAGAACACAGTAGTAGTGAATGCAATGATAGATGGAAGAATCAAATCAACATAAGACCCACACAGAGAAAAAGAGAGAATATGACAAGCAGCTATTTCTTCTTCTTCTTTCTCTCGTTCGTTTTCTCTTCTTTAGTTTACTTGCAGCGATTGCCGAGTAGTACGTGTACGTTCGTCGTCTGTCTTCACTGTGCTCGCTGTTTTTTATATAGAACTATGTGCGTATGTGTGTCCTTTCACTGCTGCCGCTCTTTGGCATATATATATATATATATATAGACATAGTCATATAGCATAATGAGAGAGAAAAGAAGAAAGAAGCTTCGCTCTCTTCATCATCTTTTTTTCCACCAATCCATCTTTCTTTCGCGCTAGTCAACAACGAAGACGGCGCCGCTGCATTACACCGCCGTAAATAGAGGACATTACAAATGCGTGTGCACGATGCACACCACTCTATAAACCGAAACAATAGTTTCTTTCTTATTGCTCGAGAGAAAGAAGAGAAAACGACATCGACGACGAGGGCAACGACCATATTGGCAATTCAATAGCGGCAGTGCAAGCGAACAAGCTTAATGCTATTTTGTTTCGTTAACAGAAAGAAAAAAGAAAAGAGATAAAAACTGGAAAGTAATCTTTTCTCTTTATATTGAACAAAAAAGAAAAAAAATAGAATCTTTCTTACTTTTGTTTTTATGTTATCTATGTTTAAAAAACAAAGCCTTAAGATCTGATTTATATTTAGTATATCATTAAATTTAATTGACTTGTTTTTTTTTTTTGTTTCCTCTAAGCAAAACTTCTTTCATTAGATTGAAATTATTTCTTTTTCTTTCGATAACAAATTCATCATCATTGAAATTAGACACATCCTTTGTTTAGATTAAACAAGATCAATGTCAGTACTAATCAAAATTATTATTGTTCATGTCCAAATATGAAAGAACAAAAAGAAAAACATCAATACTAAAGATTTTCAATTCGTATATGACATTTGTTTTTGTTTTATTCGAAATGATAATTTGTATAATGTTTAACATATTCCAATGTATATATGTTTTTCAAAATATTTTCTTTTCCTTTCTCTTTGCTTTTTTTTTTGAAAGCCAAATTCAGTTTAAATTAGACGACTGCTTTCTATCAATATCAAACAGAATTTCTATTGAATAACATGCAAAAAATAATGTTTGAGACATGAGCAAGTGTCAAAGTGAAGTCATTTCAAACAATGACAAGAAAGAAAAAAAAGATCAATGTAATACCAAATGAACTCTAGTCTATGTAAAAATATGAGCCAATGGTATTTTCATAGAAAAGCCTGGATTCATTCAATGATTTCCGTAGTGTTTTTTGTTGGTTCTCCTTTCAAGAATGATGATGAGAATGATTCATTCGTATGTAGGCTGATGTTTGCACAACGAGAAAAATAATAAAACGCAAGAGCATGAGATACCGTCTAATATTCCCAACTATTTTTCTTTCTTTCTAAGAATGTAAATGATGTGTTTCTTTTAATATAAATGAAACATAACGACCGGAAATAAAAGAAAATGACATAATTTAATGATGGCATACAGAATGTTAAAAACAAATCTGGAACAAGTATTTTCTTAAGAATAAACTTCATAATTATTGGAGAAACAAATTTTATTCAATATATATATTCAAATATGATTTCGTTCAATTATGGTTTTTATAAATATTTTTCAATAAATTTTACTATAAGAATTATATCTAATATGTTAAGTTCGAAAAAATATCGTGTTAGATTTTCCATCATGATAAATATATACTTGCAATGTGTATTGCCTGATTTTAGATCGGCTTATGTTGTAATATTATCTAAGACTTATGATTTTATATATATATATCGCGCATATAGAGATAATGTGCATTTTGAGATTTTTATAAATATTGCATATTGTTTATATTTTGAAGCAAAAAACAAATGTGCACGATAGATATAGAATTATTTTACTTGGTTCTTGGACGTCGCATGAAATATATTAATGAAGATGTTGAACTATTACTCAATGGTTTATTAGTAGTACTTTTATTGATTGTTACAGTGATATTGCTTGTTGATGATCGTACTGGAACACGAAAAGTACTAAAAAGATTGCTAAAAAGTGATGTTAGTAATGATGGTGCTTGATTTTCAAGAACATTTATAATTTTTTTGCCAACATTTGGATTAAATACTTCTTTAAGGCTTGTTGCCATGATTTGACCAATAATAGCACCTAGACGATCTAATGGAAGAATTGAAAGAATTGTTCCAATTGTATTAAGATCAGATGTTGTATTTTTATATAGATATTCACGACGAGAACGTTGTTGATGATATCTACCATAGTAAACAAATGGTTTTGGTGGAATAATTTCAGTTATATTTTCTGTCAAGTCTATTGAAAAGATAATAATTTATTAAAAACAAAAGAAGAACAATAACATATTAAATTATAAAAATGAAAAACCTGTTTCATTCCACGCTTGACAATGATCGATTTTAATAAAAAATAGTACTATTCCAATGATCAATAAAAGAAATTTTATCATTGTCAAATATCGTCGTTTGAAAAATGAAGACAAAATGTATTTCTATCATTACTCTTATATATAAACTCATTTTAACAGGACACTATCCTCCTTCACAAGTAAATATGTACTATGTAAAACAAGGTAATTATTCGATTAAAAAAATAACTTTATTGACCCAAAAAATGCTATTATTCTTTTATCATTATTTATCTATTTCGTTGTTAAATTTATTTCTTATTTCCAATCATAGTATCCTGTAAATGGTGAATGATTGATTTTTTTTACTGTTTCTTTAAAATGTAGTCACTATGAAAAAAGCACATTTTTCTCGTTGTTGTCGAATTCTTTTTTTTTTCTTCTTTTGTTACCGGTTACTATCGAAGAACGAATAAAAAAAAGAAATAATCGAGAAGAATTCTTCAAATGACATATTAAGCATTATTGAATGATGGTAATGGCGAGTAAACGGAGAGGTAAAAAAAAATAAAAATCAGATGAATTGACTGTCAATTTCTTATTTATCTATTATTTTATTTTAGTCGGTAGTGATAATATTAATTATAGTCCAGCATTAATGAGTAGTGCTATACAAGACTATCGTGCACGTACTCTTGATCTGAGTATGCCTGGTCGTTTGTCAACTCAAAATATGATTCGTCCTCGTCCTATTCAAAAACGTCAAATTCAATCAGTTATTGATACTGGCCTAAAAAAGAAAACAGAAACAAATTCATCAGTTCCAACACAACCATTACCAGTAACAAAACTAAATGAAGAACGCGAATATGTTCTTCAAGATTCTCAGACTTTAGCATCTTCTCATCGTCAACGAGGAACATTAGCTGAACGTATTGGACTTATTCAAATGACAAATAATGATACGGAAAATCATTTAACTGAAGCAGCATGGAATGTTATAAAACAACGTTCAAATGATCGTCAAGATTCAAATTGTCCATGTCCTATATGTCAAGAAGATTTTGGTCTTGGACAACAAGTATTACTATCATGTTCACACGTATTTCATCGAGCTTGTTTAACAACATTTGAAAAATTTGTTTCTCATAATACAAATGGTTCTGATCTACGAACATGTCCGATTTGTCGTCGTGCACAATATGAAAAACGTATTATATATGAAGGCGCTAAAATTCATCGCGCCAAATGTGCAGCTCGTATACAAGCTGCTTGGCGTGGTTATATTGTTCGACAATGGTATAAACGTTTTCGTCTTGATATGTCAAATATACCAAATGATACAAAATTACGTCGAAAATTTTATCAAAATAAATTATCTGAAATAACTGATCGTATAATAGCATCATGTGATTTTGATTTAAATGATTTATTTAATGAAATCGATCGTAATGTTGAACGTGCGCGTGCTATTCGTCAAGCATTTGATGCACGAATACGTACTATTGATGATGATGAATGGCAACAAATTAAAGAACGTGCAAAGCAACGACATGAACTTGAATGTTCTATTTGTAAATGTTTATTACAACCAATTATTATTGAAACAACTATTAAAAAACCGATTAAAACAAAGAAAAATAAATTAGAAAAATTATTTCCACAATTACAACCGATTGAAGAAAAATCAATAGTAAAAAAACAAGAAGAAGACCAACAACAACCGAAAAGACCATTAGTTTTGCTTAGTTGTACACATGTATTTCATGCAACATGTTTACAAATGTTTGAAGAATACTGTTGTGATCCAACACCTAATTGTCCTGTTTGTCGAACAGCATATCAAAAAAAGACATATTCATTCTAATTTTTTGTTTAGTGTAATATACAGAGAGGATAATTGTGTGATATTTTCATTTATGAAATAAAAGATTTCAAAAGAAAACCTATTTTGTGTTGCTGAATTATCAATCTTTTGATAATTTATTCATAATTAAACAGCTCCCTATTAAGAATAGTAAATTATGGATGAGTTACTTCGATAATTATAACAGAAAAATAATCGTGGGAGACAATGTTCACCTATCAAATCTTGAAGATTACGTTGGTATAGTCATGTGACATGAGCGATGATTAATTAAGAGTTTTTAAATTAATAGGAATAAATGAGAATATGAAAATACATGTATTAAATCCGGTTGGCTTCGATTTACTAAGAAAATCGTAATCCTTTCCAATATTCTGAACTTCATTAAATTTCATAAATTTTCGTAAAATCGAGGAGGTCAATAAGAATATTTTCATGTTGCAGATAATAATAAACTCGTGACGAATATTATGCAAAGATAAAAACTGTTATTCTATCTTGAAGCCTAAATAGTGTTAACATTTGTATTTTTATTGCGTTATTTTTTTTCTGTTTTACGACAAAGTAAACAAACTAATAGAGTATTTTTGCATGTTTTTATTTTTAAATAATATTGCGTTGTGTTTTTGTTAGAATACAAAAAATGGTAAAA